AGTAGTAGTAGTAGTAGTAGTAGTAGTAGTAGTAGTAGTAGTAGTAGTAGTAGTAGTAGTAGTAGTAATAGTAGTAGTAGTAGTAGTAGTAGTAGTAGTAGTAGTAGTAGTAGCAGTAGTAGTAGTAGTAGTAGTAGTAGTAGTAGTAGTAGTAGTAGTAGTAGTAATAGTAGTAGTAGTTCGGAATGGCGATCAACGGTATTCGAGGTGGACGGAGAGACGACGATTGGTGCGGTCCAGGTGCTACAATTGGTCCGAAGGTGCCCAACGAGTCCAGTTGGCGCCGGGTATGTCCGTTGACACCGTTGACACGTTGGAGGCCGTTGGGCGTTGCGTTGTGAGGGTGGTGGTGACGGCAGTCGAGGGTTGAATGTCTTACGTTTGGCTTTGGCGGCGGCGGCGATGCGGTTAGCTTCGTAAATTGCTGCACCTGCCTTCACTGTTCTCCTCCACGAAGGTCATTCCCGGGAGAGGTCTTCCCAGCTTCAGTGAGATTTCCAGAGTATATTTGTGGCGCCTGACTTGACCTCCTTCTCGGCGTGAACCCGTCGCGACATCTCCATAGAAGGGTCGTTCGGGTAGCCTCTCGTCATCCATCCGTACGAGGTGGCATCCCCAGCGCAGTTGTAGTTGTCTCAGCATGTCGTAGATGCTGAGGACTCCCATCGGTTCCAGGATTTCCGTGTCAGGGATCCTGTCCTGCCATCTCAGCTTCAGTATTCGACGTAGACAAGTGAGGTGGATGTGCTTGAGTCTTTGTGCCTGCTTCGTATTCACCGTCTAGGTCTCTGCTCCACACAGCAGCGTCGGCAGGATGATTTTCTTGTACATCTTCAGTTTTGTGCTGAGTTGAAGACCGTGGCGATTCCAAACTGATCTTCTGCTTAACAATCAAGTCAGGATCAGGATTTTCATTTGCACAAGCCTTCATGCTCTCTCCCTCTCTTTCTCTTTCTCTCTCTCTCTCTCTCTCTCAGCCGATAATTTTCTAAAGGGCCGAGGCAGCAGCAGCTCGGGAAGAACACTATACAGAGCTCCACCTCAATAGCAGCCTTTCAAGCAGTCCAAACCCAAAAATCCAACCGCTCAGAATGGTCTTCCGTCCAATCAGTATGCTTGATATCTAACATCAGTTATAGCCTACCAAAAACTTCAGCTGACCCGAGTGTGAGAAGCTCGACGATCACAGTGACTAAAGCTTGAGTACAGCTAAGTCTCTAACCACCACCGGAGCTGTGAGACACCGATCGAAAGCCTTGAGTTTATTCATGCCTTTGTCGTACCTCCTCTAGTTAATAACTGTTTGACTCTCGTGATAGGCCCCAAATCAAAAGAAAACACGCACATTCAGTCCTGCTATCTGGTCAGAGCGCAATGTTGCGTCTGCCATTAAATTTTCTTGCTTTCGCTCAGTGCTATGACGAACTACTTTACCGATCTTCATACGGTGGGGTTTTTATGCCTAATGTAAACTCCGAGGTCGCTGTTGTTGACTAGGACTTTCTTAGGCGGAAAACGATCGCATCGCGTGACTCCGATTAGGTCGGGTAAAAGGACCCACGGATGGAAGCGAATATGCGAATCCCAGGTTCTTGTTGTAAAGAAGACGAACACACGATCTCTGGGACAGTAGGTGTATTAGTCTGAGCTTTCGGTCTCGTACAGGAGGCCATCGTCAGAGACTGTGAGAATGCGACATCAAATGAGCGCTTTTTGTAGTCAAACCATGAAGTGGGGGGGATATGAGTGCAGCGGGTGGTATTCGCGATGAGTTGAGTCCCACGCCGTCTCACGGTGGCGTGACTGCGTGCACCCTTGGCTGGAAATTGGGTCTCGCCTCTTGGCCGCGGGAACGGAGCGCGTGATAGCAGGGGGGCTATGTCAACGCGCCTGTTGATAGAGTTGGTGTCAGGCCCCTAGGCCTCGAACAGTTCTCGTCCTGTCTTATTGTTGGCCCGCGCTACTATCCGCGTGCTCGCGAAGTTGAATTCGTGGCCTTTCTCCAGGGTGTGGGTGGCGATCTGAGACAACGGGTCGCCTCTCCGAACCGCCCGTTTGTGCTCCGTTATTCGTGAGCTAAGTCGCCGTCCGGTCTGTCCTGTGTAGTGGCGAGGGCAGTCCCGACATGGGATCTGATAGGCGACACCCGATTGTTCTCCCACGTCTAGGCCATACTTCACTCGCATTAGTTCGCCGCTCATGGTCGCTGTCGGACGGTGAGCGATACCCACACCGAGCTCTCCAACGATACGTTCCGTCGCTTCGGACACGTTCTTTATATATGGTAGGGGGTGCCAGAGTGTTGGTGGCTCTCCTCCGTTTGTTAGCCGTGGGCGCGTGCGGAGGCATCGGCTGACAAAGCTGTTCGGGTATCCATTCCTTGCCAGTTGGTCCCGAAGATGCCGGAGTTCTCGTACTCGTCCCTCTGGTACACTGCAGTGCGTCTTTACCCTTTGGAAGAGTGTCCTAACACAGCTGCGTTTATGCGCCATTGGATGGTTACTGTGGTAGTTGAGAATCGGAGTCGTGTTAGTCGTCTTTCTGTACACCGTGGACCTAATTCGTGAATCCGGATTTCGCAGCAGAAGGATCGAACGATCTATCCACTGTACCTTACGTTATAAGTATGGAGAGCGCTGCTGTTGGCAAGCCGACGTGATCTGCTTGTTGTTGAGGGGAGTTCAGCAGACTGGATAAATAATTAAAGGGCCGGCAAAAGAGGTTGTAGGCGAGTTTGACTTGCCCATCAGCAAACAGTACGCCTTCTTGTATACACGAGGTTAGTCCTAGTCTTCACAGGCTTGCCATTTGCTAGATACTTAAAAATTGCAGCTCTTCCCTGATTGCAAGCATTTTTAGTGGCTAAGTGTGACCTCGCACGCGCCCTAGTCCCTGTTACTAGATGTGATGGAGACTATAGCAATGCATGTAACTGCTACGGCGCGCAACTTATCGAACGCAACAGTTACTTACCTGTCTAAATACGTCAACCGCTTTGGTTAATACCATTCCATAATTACTTAACCTGTAATGTAATCGGAAGGCGCCAACAGAAACTACTAATTGCCTGTTTCAATAAGCTCTTGCTATCCTCCAGTTTTGTCTACATTTGCTTAGATTTGTAGGCATACTAATGTAATGGATCGAGGTCACGTCAGCCCATACGATAGTCCGGCTGTTGGGGGACTAGGAGGTCTATCGCCTTTCCACAAAGTGTGTCCAAGGATGATTTACGTTTTAATTTCAAAAGAAAAGGAGACGTTCATCGGGAGAGGTGTATTGGAGGTCTGGCGTTTCGAGAAGACGTTTCTTCTACCCATCTTCAGAGACTGAAAAGCCATTCACACAGCTTTCCTTATATGGCGCACTTTGCTTGATGGCTGGCCCGCCAATGCCACCTGTGTGGCTGCATCCGACCCGCATGTCACCGTGACCTGAATCCCGCCCGTCATCCTCGGCCGCGGCGATAATTGACGGCTCCGATTGTCCCGCGCCGTGACCGTCCCTCGTCAAGAATGTCCGTAAAACCATATAGGGGGAGGTAAATTGATGTGGCGATTGACAGAACAGTCGGTAGACATCCAGGCTTCTTGCACCTGCCTTGCCGTATGATCATCACCTCGGCCCACAATTTTCAACGTTTAAATTTGTTAATAGCGAGTTAGACATGCGCAGCATCTACCACACACTCTCTTCCCCCAGTCGCCTTCCTCTGATGCCAACACAGTTAAGGAGGTGATCGTGAACACAGTGGCTGACAGAGCTAAACAGTTCGTCTTCGAGCACCACACGTGGCCTCGTCCCCAGTTTTTGTACCTGGCTACAGTAGGAGCCCCTCGGATCTTGCGTTGGCGAGAATGTCATAGGGGTCAAATTGAGGTCAAGGAGTCGCAAACTGACCCTCAATCCTGCAAATGACCGAAGATCCCGTAAGAAGGTAACTTTATGAGCACGACTATTACAGTGTCATTAAAGTTTGGAGCACATCAGATTTGTTATAATTCAAAGCAAGACAAGGGCAGGTAGGGTGGACTGATGCCTTAGAAGCTTCAATATGATACAGATGATTGTGAAGGCATGTACTTGCGCCTATAAGAGATTAATAAATTAATCTGGAAGGTATGATTGGCCTTGAAGAAGAAGACACGATCGCTGGGACAAGAGCTTTACTGGCCTGACGTTTCGGATTCCTGCTCGAACCCATCATCAGAGGCAAAAGCAGATACGGGTGATGAAGATGGGTTCGGGCAGGAATCCGAAACGTCAGACTAAAAAAGCTCCTGTCAAAGCGATCGTGTCTCCTTCTTCAAGACTGCTTCCTGGGACTCGTCTCTTCTCTTCTATTGGCTATGATTGGCCTTTTTATTCACACTATACTCCTTCAGTGGACATCTTTTCCAGATTTTTACTTCACGACACTATCTCCGTGCGTATGGCTTCTGTTTTGGGAAAAGATGTAGATTATGTTTTTATCCATCCCTAAGTTGAATACGTCTCAAGCTGTTTCATATACCCCACCGTACGCCCCTAAACAGGAGAAGGTAATGACGGTGAAAAGAAACCCGTGGACGGTTGGTCATTGAGTCAGTCTGCTTCCGAGTTCGTTCGCGGCCGCTACCCCCTACGACATTACTGGGACCTTTGCGACACTCGTCTGCTGGTTGTGGAGGCCGCGGAACTGCCACCGGAACATCCGGCTGCAGGCGGGGACCATGACCACCCAGCTGCCTCTGCTGACTGTGACGATGGCTTCGAGGTGCGACGACCTCGATCTCAAATTTCTTCACTGTCCGAATGCGATGGACAGATTTCCACCAATGGCAAGGGTTTCGACGCCTCTACCTCCGGCGGTCCGGTTAGTTTTTTTGGTCTTTCAAAGGGGACGGTTCTTCAACCCCTGCCATCTACTCATTACTTGCGTTTTTGCACTAGGGGAGACGACAAGGTGCGCTGGCTGGCTCCGGTCAAAAATCGCGTGCCCTCAGGGTGACTGCCGCGAAGGTCATGAATGTTGTCGCCATTTAACTAAATTCCTAGCCATTCTGCATGTTAGACGTCGTCGGCTAGTGTGATGTGAGGTCATTTGCGAAGCCTTCTCCTCGTTAGTGGGTTACTTACTCCTTTCCGTATACGTTCTCGTTAGGATGAATATATTCCAGATCAAATATTCATATAAACTTTCAGACGGGCTCGGAAAAGGTTTGTTCCGAAAGTGACAATCACTGCTTAGGGAATATTACAATGAAGAAAAATAATTCGAAACATGGAGAAAGAGTGGAGGTTGGCGAGCGATGAATGTAGCATGTGCATCATATCTGAAGGTGGAAACACTAAAACCTGGAGAGTTGGACATTGATTAAGGTGAACGAGGGACTATTCAAGAACAGGGCCCAATTCCTGAACAAAATGTATGATATAACACAAGCACAGGCAACCATGCCTGAACCATCATTAGTTTATAACCAACCAAATGGCAGATGAACAGATAAAAGTGACGCAACGGATGAGAAGCGCACCCGGGGTATTATATCGTCGCAGTAGAACCGACACTCGTATAAACGGATACCACAGAAAACCCCAAGAACTCGAATCTCAAACAAGTCACATCTCTCATCATATCTCACAAGTCACGTCAAATCAACTCTAAGAAACATACGTTAAGATTTCTGAACACAATTTTCTACGCCGATGCATGAGACAACATTAGTAGAAAGGAAAGGAACCAGGTACTTCCAGTCAGAAGTCCGAACGCGATACTATTTGAACTCTGATTTACATTACAAATGTGTCTGAACTCGACGAAAGGCACCTAAGGAAACACCGAACTCAAATGGCTCAGTACGAACCGACGACTATTTACGCATCCAGCTTGTGCACTCTAAGCACGGAGTTATATATGATGGTGTTTATTGTAATCAGACTGAAAGACCCACCTCTACACGGATCCAGTGCCTCCCTGAGATTTATATACGTGACATCCAACTCGATGTACCGGTTGATCTACGATCCATCCGAGTGCATTGGCTCGAGGAACTCTCGACCTCTCTTAAAGGGGCAGCCGGCGCAATCCAAGTTCTTTGTGCTCTGTCTGCAGGGTTTACATTTCTACCTAAGCATGTGTTCTCGCCTGTTCACCGCTCACTGATGTTCGTGAATGCCTGTGGATGCGGGTCTTCTAGCCTGAACACAGTAAACGGCGTCACATGCACTACAGAGTATCTTGCAGACGGCCTCTTTTTTGTGTAAATAAGTAACCCTCTGCTTACATTGTACAAGCTGGATGTGTAAGGTAGTCGTCCCTTTGTGCTTCATTTGAGTTTGGTGCTTTCTTAGATGTCTTTCAACAAGTTCAGTCACATTTTAATGTAAGGAAGAATTCGCCAAGTATATATATATTATTTTGGAAGTGTGTCTACCGATCGGTTTGCGGGACATGCTTGTTCCTTTGTAGTTTGACGCGCAGTGTGGAACCCCAGAGGCAGTCGCACAGCGACTACTAGTAAAGGCGAGAAATTGGCAAACGCGTCTCCCTTGTCTTTGTCAGTAATGCCCATCTGCCTATCGAGACTGTATATTGAGCCCTTAAACACAGCGGAACCAGCCTGTCCCTTAACCCGATCGGTGAACGCACTTCCAGCATCCCGGGCGACAGGAAAATGACACATTAGTACAGCGTTATACTTAATAACGATCGATAACTCAGGGGTCCCGGCTAGAGGTCATATGCAGCAAACGCATCAAGGTTGATTCACGAGGGCTAATAAGCCAAAATTAGTCATCCCAGTCTTCCCTTTCTTTGCCAGTCATCGCTGTCTGCCTGCAAATATACATAAAAGTGGGCGGAGAAAGTGCATAAATGGCGAGGCAGCCCTGAAAACTCTGTCTTTTAAATCAGACGACAGTCAGCATTGCAAGAAAAAAATACCGTGGGACCAGAATATTTTCCTTGAATGATGACTGCCAGTCGCCATTCCTCCTCCTGAGTGGAATGTAGACCCTCATTGTAAGGGCACGGTGGCAGCGTTCCTTTTAGTCTTTGATCAGTGAACGCCATCGTCATGTAATTACAGTAGATCTGCTATCTCATTAAATGTTTTGAAGTGCGTTTTCGACTTGAAACGATTACTTAGGTAGGGTTATAATAGTAATTATCGTACAGCATAATTCCAAAATATTTCAATCACTCCGGGATATCAGCTTTTGTATGAAAGCTTTTTTGGTCGCCTGCAAAAAGTGTGCTCTATAAATAGCAATCACTTGAGTAGCATGAACTTTTCTCATTGATTTTCGATGCTCATTTGGTAACAAATTGCATTTCACTCAAATTTTGTGCTCGAAGGAAGAGTATAATTAAGTTTTAAAAAACGTTTTAATTGTAAGTTCTTTTAAGACCGTGAAATTCCTGTTCATAAAACATCGTGTTTCTGCATTCACTAATGCTGCTTGTAAATTTCACAAAATTTTGGTTAAAAGTTCATGCGATAGCACATCTACCGCAAGTATTCCCAATACCAGCCAACATGACGCGAGTCGGTTAGTGCAGTAGTGAGGGTGTTGGTCTGGAACCTCGAGTTTACCGCCCGCAGCACTGGCTGATGACGGCAAATCAGCTAGAAATGGCCATTCTAGTGCCCCTGTCTTTTTCGGTGAATCGTCACTGTTAGTGAATGAATTTGAACGTCAAAGTTGCTGTTGATTCTTATGGGGTATCCTCTCCCCCTCTACTCATTTAACAAAGTACGCTATTTCGAAAATCCACCCTGCTGACCCCTGTATTCGCTGAGCAGGGATAGCTAGTTTCGCAACTTCTGTCGACTGATGTCGTAGGAAAGTATTCTACGTCCAACTGCGAGAACTGTTTACCAAACAAGGACTGGCACCTCTGCAAGGAGGTCCTTATCCGTTATATCTGAAAAGGACGAACGATAACTGGTGACTCTCAACGGCTATTGCATGGGAGCCATCCCCAGGGTGAAGTATGCTGCCTTTTATTCGAACGGGCAGTCTGTCATCATTGCGTAATGATGGCCAAACCAACTGAAGCCCTACAAAAAACGGTCGAAATGGTTGAGGAAAATGCTCTGTCATGTGTCCCATGAGCAAATTCGGTTCTTAGGTTCATAGCCCTGCTCGCCACAGCTTGTCTTCGCACCCTTGATATCCAGGCTTCGCAAGTTCGATCCACGGATGTTAGCTTTTCAGCACCGACATTAACACATGGGACATTGGACAAGTTTACTAGATCGTTCATGATACCCGCCAAGTCTAACAGTAACAGAGGTATTAATAATCGTCAGGTGGTAGTGGCGGTATTGTCAGCTTCTCAGTTGCACCATTACTATTATTATTATTATTGTTTGAATGATGTCAGTACTAGCCGCTGATGTGGTCGGGGACATTCTCCGTCAGTTGCTGCTCCCGTAACTCCGGTTCCATCCTCTTACTGAGACCAATTTTGGGACGATTCGTTCATGGCCTTCCTTGCAACTACGTCGGCAGCATCAGTAATATTATTCACGGAATAACATTACCGACAAAGACAATGGAGACCGGGATGGCCATTTCTGGCTTATTAGCCGTCGTCAGTCAGTCATCCCAATCCCGAAATGTGGAGCACCTGTGGCTCGATCCTGCGACCTATTGTTTGGAGGCACAACGCCTCTAATCACTGAGCCACGAGCCCGTTCGGGTATATACAATACATGAAATACAATATACAATATTGCATTTGATAACGGTGGAAGTAGTAGTATTATTGGTGGTACTAGTAGCACTTACCGTATTAATGGTGGCGGGAGTAGTGGTACTGACAGCAGCGGCAATAATGACCTTTACAGTATTGGTACTACTAGCAGCCCTGTCATTAGTAGTATTATTGGTGGTGTTGACAGCGGGAGTGGTAGAAGTAGTAGCGGCAGTAGTAGTAGTAGTAGTAGTAGTAGTAGTAGTAGTAGTAGTAGTAGTAGTAGTAGTAGTAGTAGTAGTAGTAGTAGTAGTAGTAGTAGTAGTAGTAGTAATAGTAATAACAATAATGGTAGTAGTAATAGTAAGTTAAGATTGATCTGTCCTGCACTTTCATCTAGATCTAACCATCCGCCGACGACTTTCTGAATAATAATTTCCTTTGTCTTCTAGATGAGAAACGTCATTGTGTCCTTCTTTGTCAGCCATGAGCAGGACCGGATGATTGTCCAGGAGTACTTTTTCCTGGGTTCACACCATACTGCTCTCATCGGTCTGGAGGTGCCCTACTTTTACTTCGCCGTTCGTGTGAGTCCTCTAATCTAGGCAATATGTTCACGCTTTAACTCCGAAGTACCTGTTTTCCCTCCGATTTTCATTTCAGATTTGCCCTTCTACTTTGTTGTTAGTATTTTTCCTTTCCAGATTAACTGAAATAAGCGTTTTGTTAATGCTGGATATAACATCTGATCCCTGACTCTAAGCTATTGTTTGTGCTCTCGGATGTATGAATTAATTAATAAACATGAAACGACAGTCCGCAAATGTACGATTTCGGCTACAGTGGTACCCGGAATTCATGGGAGTTGGGTATCTATACTCTCCCGAGAATTTTGAAAATGAGATGGACGAACAAAGATCTACTGACTTTCTAAAGCAACTAAGCTCCGCATGGGTGGCAGATGTAGCCAGGAGCGCATATATGTGTTCCGGGTTCCGGCCGGTAATCAAGCTTATGAGTGGCTCAATGATAGCAGAATAAGTCCGAAACAGTAGCGCATCAATATACCTGCATTCCCTGTCCTTGCTCCCAGCCTGTGTTTGTACCAAGTGATCGCCCTGATTGAATTGAAAGACAAACCTCCCGCATGCGAAAGACTAACGGTTGATCACATATAGTAGATACCTGCAACGCTCTGTAATTACTAATAACCGAAGTATCGTACTAAGGCAGGTGACTGCGGATCCAAACGTTGGCACACGGGATTCGCACAGATGTTCCTCTTACAAGCCTACCCAGACTTGGTGCGGCCTCAATTATATCTAACCTAACCGTCGTTGACAAAGTCAAGAATAGTATATCTTCGTGCGTTTTTATTTCCGGCAACTGGTCTGCGGAGTTCACTTCACGCTCCTCTTCACCAACGGACGCCGAATACCGACATCGAATCATCATCCCCATTTTCTGAAAGACTTGCTGAACCAGGTTTTGATTTAACCTCCTCAACAGCTCCAGATAGAGAGCGACGGAAAACTTACGGATTGGATGACGAAGAAAGTCCCCAAATCACCCCAGTCGTTTCTGCTGGATGTCTTGAAATATCCTCGCGCTGTTGTCACAGCCAGTTCAGTCTGTCTCCTTTGAAACAATGTTGGTGTGCTTCAGTCGCAGGACGACTCTCAGACAGCAGTGTTAAACTGCCTTGCGCTCATCCAGTCATATGAGTCTCCTAGAGATTTTCCAGCTCACCTGGCTGGGAACTGCATTGATTTTAGTTATTTGCTGCCTCTTCCTTCGGTCTGAGAGTCAGAGTGAGAGTGGACTTCTGTGCACTGGCCTTCGGCTGTATTCAGCTTTCTTATTTCCAGGACAGCAGATATGACCTTCACCTGGCTGTCTTAATTTCCTATCTCACGTGTTTGACCTTGACAAACATCGTTATAGACATATATATACCTGGGAAGGAACGCTGCATTTCGGTAGCATTTGTCAAACCCATTTTGGGCAATGATGACCGAATACTCGCATTACAGAATCTTTTCACGTTTGCCAGTTATGAAAAGGGTTTGTCTACTGAAGTGTTCTTAGTCTGTGACTAGCGCTCTGACGTGTACAGGGTTCCCTAATTGAGAAAAGGGACCATATAGATTTTCTGCAGCTCGCAGTAGTCGTCAGTTTTTCCTAATCGCTATGGCTTGTGTTTCAAATAAGCGCCGTAGTGTGACATTTAAAAGATGTGTGATAACAATGAGACGCCTACTTAAGTACTCTTTCTCTTCCTTCTGGTATGTTCAGCTTCGAGGAAGCCATACGTTTCCATTCCACTCACCAATCGTCTTCCACATTCACTCACATTCTATATCAATTTATTTATGTGGCATTTCGCAATCTTTTAACTGAAAGGCTTAATGGGGCTATATAATACTAACGTCCAATCTCCATCGTTTTCCCTAAGCCGGATTTTGCACAGGCACTGATGAACTCGCAGTCGTCGGTGCTGTCCGCAGAAACTTTGGAGAGCACGAAAGCCAACCCCGATACTGGCTCCTTCTTGGCGGGGTCGGGGGACACGGCTGGGACAAACCCTGTCGTTAAGCTGCCCGGCGATGAAGCTTTCCCCCAGGCTTCCTCAACCCCCACTTCAAATCCCACTCTCTTTCACATCAGCCGCAGGGTGATGCGCGACTTTCAGGGCCTCGAAAGTGCCGACGCCAGTACAAAGGAGGCGATGCTCAATTTCAGCTTCTACTTGGCTCAGGGCGAGATTGACGCCGCCTTCAAGTCAATGAAGCTGATTCGAAGTGCTGCTATTTGGCAGGTATATTTGCGAACCTTTCATTCTTCTGATATTAGCCTTCATGTATTATTTTGATTAAATCGACAATCTTTGAATGCGTATAGATGCAAAATTTCACCTAGGAATATATTCAGTACTGCATGTCAGTAGCTGTCTTTTTATGCCAATTTCGAGTAGCATTTAGGCTGCCCCGTTGTTCGAAAGGATTGAAACCTGACGCAAGGACCTCATTGACATGCCGACTGCCCGTCGGAAAATTCGAGTCGTACTCGAAGGGCCATCTATCTTCATCATATTATCTTGGAATGCATACTTCCTCAGATATTCAGCATATATATACATATATCAACGTGAATGAATCTTCGAGGTCCAGATAAATTATCCCGTTCATCATCCCTAGAAGAATACGAAGAATAAAAAGGGGTAAGCGCTAATGGGCACGCAGACCTTGCAGCGACTATGACAGTCGGGCGGAAGACAGAGGTCACACGAGTGCGCCAATGGTTGGCTACGGAGATACCAAGGCCAATTCTCAGCCAGAATGCAGGTCAGAGTTCTTACATCAAGCATGCCTATAAAACAAGACAGGCGGCGAGACAGAACAACTCCAGGCTAGCAGGAACAAACACCCCACCATTCTGATGATGGAAACAAGGAAGCTTGCGAAACCTCAGCACAAATACAATGTATTCCATGGAATCACCTCTTTTTCTTCTTCGTCTACTTTTGCGGATGATCACAAGGATATACATACATCAAGCTACTAACTATGGAAATTATTAAGTGCAGGACATGGAGTTAAGTCTCCGGAACATGGCTTTTAGGGTCAGGCATGAAACTTCAATGAACACTCGAGTCGAAGACAATGAACCACTGTGGAATAACTGCGTAATGCCAACTCTGCAAGCGAGTAGTACTACAAGTAGCATGAATTTTGTATGCCAGAGGTGGTCGATATGTATATATGGAGAAAGAACAAGTTTTTCGGGAACAATCGAGTTGTACTCGAACATGTTTCACTTATGTTTCTGTTAATCCACGTCATGAAGTCGAACTCTAACATTCAAACCCGTCAGCTGCCTTGTACAAATGACTATAGACCGTTGATCTAGACCCAGAAACTAGCGCATGACACCGACTCGCTTATCTTTAGGGATGCGCTGATTCCAAAAATGGAAACACATGAATCAGCTGTCTAATATGATAATTGAAAAACCTGGGTCCACACACCTTGTTCCAAATTATCAATCCTCCCGTTTTCGTGTCTTTATAATCCGTTTCTGAACCTGGATAACCCAACCAGTTTGCCCAATCGCGGTTAATTTTCCTTGTTTACTACATCAACGACAGACATACATTAACTTTCCTCCATGTTCAGCCTGAGTTTACAGATTGTGGAAACGCATTTGGGTATCCCAGTTTTACTGTTAAGACTGTCCTCAAAATTCCGTCAAATAGCATCGCTTGCGATAAACGAACTACTACTTCGAGGTATGAGATCTTAAACTTGAGTCAGCCAAACTGAGACAAACCAAAATTATGGTCAGTGGATAAGACGTTACGAGGTGAGTATGTCAGGTGAAAACTTTTCTCCAATATACCTACAAGCCGCGTTAAACCGAGTTGACTTCGGCATACTAAACCTCAGTAGTCTGCTTCCCTTAGCACCTTGCGGGAATACGTCTCAGAAGCATGAAAAAGCGAACTTGGTGGGAAACATAGAAGGAATGTTTAACAAACACGGTTTCTTAAACTGCCATAACCGTTTTTAGATGGACCGCCGAGGACACAGCGTTTGCTTATAATCAGTAGCGTTCTTTTATTGCTTCTTTCCTGTTGATCTTCTCCCCTCACCCATCTTTCCCAGTTTTCCTGCCCACGTACTTCTTAGTTATCCTATGTTAAGAAACTTATTCTATTGAGGGACATTTTCCTGAGAGGCAGGTTGAGTCACTATGTCCTCACCAGCCTTGTGCTTGAGATGGATGCCCCACGAACGGATTGCCCTGCAGACGTGTCAAAACAAAAAGCTGTTTGAACTACTCTCTGCGTGCGTTTATCAGATTGCGACGAGCCTACGCAACTCCTTAACTACTGTAATACATGGATGTAATGGGGCGCCTCATTACACCGCGTCAGCCTAGGCACCCGACCGCATCAACCGTTGATTAACAGGTCGAGGCATTCGACTGGTGCATGACAGAAGGAAGAGTGATAACCTCGCTGGGAAATCCATCTTCGTGACAATTCAGCGTATTCCTCACTATAATAAATCTGATGCACTTAAATCTATCGCTAATTGTTGTCAGTCGTGGCTTGGGAGGGTGCTAACTAACAGGATAATTTGGACCTCCTAATGAGTTTCTTGGCGGACTGAGAGACAGGCTACAATGGCTTTTACGCATGCGAGACCCGAGTCGTCCTTACAGTAGCCCGTGTGTGGGACGCGTAGACGGGTTATTTAACATTTTCAGCCACCGTTCTACGCCAACCTCCGGTAGTCTCGATACGGTTTTACCACCGAAGCCAGCCTGGTGAGGAAGGGAAGAGTGCGGTGAATCTTGCACAAGTCCGCCTCACTACAAACTGATGAACGCGCCTTTAATCGACGATGCGTCCTCACCGTGGCGCCCGCAAGGAACGTCGTCGCTTGCGAATTTTGAACTGTCCATCTAGAGAAACAGTGCCGATTGTTAAAAAAACGGCAACGATCAGGTGAATGACCCCAAACACACACGACCAGCCAAATGTGCCTGTCTTACGGGATAGGTGGTAATAGGGGTTTTACGGGCGGGACCTATGTATGCATAGAGGAATAGCAGAATAAGTATAGATACTTGTTAAATTCGGTTTTCGGGCAGAAATGTTTTAATGCATTGACATATAGCAACCGAAATTAAGCAGGACAATCAAAAAATAAACCTTTAGGATAAGATGTGGTTATGTAGCCCCACCTGATGGACACAATACTGTTGGGGTTGGGGGTTAGAGTTGGGGTTAGAGGTTAGGAGTTAGGGCAACTATTTCTTAACCACTTGAAGTAAAACCGCGCATTCCCAATAGCTTTTCTTTTGCATATAATTACTTGACCTCGTCGCCTGTACGTTCCCTGGACCCACTTGTAAAAACCCCTATTACCACCGGTTCCGTATTATAGGTGGCTGGGGTTTGTTTACTTCAGGTGGGGCTACATAACCACATCTGGCCACATTAAGTGTCTACAACGACCGCTTCTCAACTCTCTGAGCTGAGGCTGTCTACAACAGCCGACCCATCCTTGAACAATGAAACACCAAACCGAAGTAATCGTGTCGGACTAAAACCCATTTAAATAAATATGATCGGAGTTTTTGTATGCCACATATGTTTGGGATCCCTCTCCCGATCCTTACCAAAAAACAATGGAAGAAACGCTTTTGCATGAATTTCATCCATTATAAGTTCTGCTCATGTTCGGTCGCCAGCAAACTTTTAGTCCCCAACATCTTTATCTCCTTTCAGAATATGGCCAAGATGTGTGTGAGCACACGGCGTCTGGACGTGGGTTTGATGTGTCTCGGAAAGATGGGCAATGCCTTCGGAGCCATGATGGTGAGGGAGATGCAGAAGCGCGAACCCAACATCACCGTTCAGACCGGTGAGCTGGCATTGCAGCTGGGCATGACGGTATGCATCACCCTCGACTCTGCTAGTTATCTTTGCGTCTGTTTTTAGTATTTTTTTGCGGCCTTTTGACGTCCGACCTTTTCATCAATTACAAATGTTTGTGTAACGTAGCGTATGTAAACTGAATGGACCACTTTAGTCGTAAATGACACGAAACCGCGTTCAGTACTCAATCTATGGTGTTCTTGGGCATGATCCTGTTTCACTGGTGTTCGGGAACAGGTTTTCCGTAGAGTTTGTCTTCCCCACGTCAACCACCACCGGCTGTTAGCGCCCGTTCGCCAATTGTCGACGGGTTTTTCACCTGGAAATCAACGCGTCCGCTTTTAGGCTAAACGGTAGCTGCTGGTTCGCAAGGTGTATTGTGCGAAATTGCATTTGGGGGGTGGGGGTAGTGTTTTCCCTGGTTTAATGCCTTAATCGATTATCATGTCCGGTATATGTTCGTTGAATTTAGGGACATGTTGAGCTCTCATCGCGTATGCCTAACTTGTAAGTTTGAAGTGAAAGCGGAAGTTTAGTTTAGTTTCTTGTCTCACTTACTACCTGAATGATGGTGGTAATGGTGATGGTAATGTTGACTTTCTGACTTGGCGAGTTCATTGTAACTTGCAACAGGCTTATATGGTTTTTATATTTGATAACAGCTTCGGTTCGTTGCATTTTATATAATAATTGTACAACCTCGTTAAACGAAAATATTGCTAACAGGAGAATAATATTTTACACGTTTGCTAACGCTGTTCACGATATTCAAAACGGTTTTGGCGGTTGCCTAGGCCCGGTCCTTGTTTTTACGGAGATACTTACTGGAGTAGCATTGTATTCCTTGACAGTTTGGGTGTCATTAGTAAGTTTGTCTGGACTTCGGTGCACTCGTATGTTTTCCCAGACAAGGTGAACCAAGATATTATTATAATGCAAATGTTGACTGTCTCTCTTTTCATACATGTGTACTGAAGGACGAAGCAGAACGCATCTTTATTGAGTGCGGGCGATGGGATCTGGTGGCTCGCCTTCATCAAACCCTGGGACACTGGGAAGAGGCCGTTCAGATTGCCGAGAAGCGAAACCGCGTGCGCCTTCGAAATACGCATTATGCATACGCCCAGGAGCTTCGAAAACAGGATCGAATCGAAGATGCTATCGCCCAGTAAGTTAAATTCTCAGGCAATCAGTCGTGAAACAAGAGATCGTGTGGTAGTTTCCAAAGTCCTCTTGTTCCCTCATTTCTGGGAGGACAACCGCAACTGTTTGCGATTCTCAACAGCAGATGAGTTCCTATCACATTTATTCTAGTTCTTTTTTTGTCCCGGCAGACTACAACAAGCCCTGGCGAAGATGGACCCTTTGACGAAGGAGTACTGATTTAAATAAATTAACTGGAGGGCAACCAGAGTTTTTTCTTTTCTTCAGCTGTATTTAGCATAATTGATCTTCAGCTTAATAACACGTGTTTTCAATAAAAGAAAGCTCTACATTCAAGTCCGTCTCTGAATTCTCTCATGATTTTTAGTAGGCCCTGCATTGGTCGACAATCTATCTCCGTAGATTTTTTTCCCATTTCCGACTACCTAGGTCAACTGTAGATGATATATTAATAAAATACTAGAAACGATCATTAGAAGGTTAGCTGCCCCCATCAGTGTGATGACATCCAGAGGTCTCGATCAGGACCTCGTAGCCCAGGTGACAGGAGCGTAGTCTGTCTTAAATCCATGCGCTTCCTGCCATGGGTTCGACTCCCGCCGACTTGTAATGCAACCTACTCCTCTTTTTCCTGATACTGATTAAATGCACAAGCCTTTTCTTTTCGGACTGAATTAAGTCTGACCCAGGCATGGAATTCCCCACTGTCTAATCATTTCAGTCAGTTAACGCTTGTCATCTTTGGGCATCTTCAAATGTAGGATTTAGTTCTCAGCGGGTAGCCAGCGTATCCGAGGCTTTCTCCTACACGACTTATTCGTTCACTTGCCAATACGTCCATCTGCAAATGGTCGAGCGATTATCAAGTAATTACTAATCAATCAATCGTGACGATATCTCAGGCTCCTTCAAGGCTCCAGTTAGTTTACCTATAGTGCCTTTCTGCAGGGCGCACATGCTATTGAAGCCTGTCAGCCAGTTTTGTGTGGTTGAATCCCAAGTCTCAGTCATCAAAAACAAATCTAGCTTGCTTCAACATACGAACCTCTAGTGCTTCGCATTATTTTAGCTACATTAAGTCGAACACCCATCTGGTCGAAGTGCCACGCATGTTGAAGGACTCACCAGATCAGCTGGAGGCTTTTGTGAAGGCTAATCCCAACAAGTGAGTTTTCAGTAGCCAACTGCACAAGCAACCCCAGGCCTTCGTGTTTCTGCTATTTTCATCTGCTTTTTGCCTTGTTCAGGGATCTGCAGCGGTGGTGGGCACAGACTCTGGAGGCGGAAGGTCTCCTGGAGGAGGCTGAGGTCTATTACTCCCTCGCTAATGATTATCTCTCCTTGGTGCGTGTGTTCTGTTGTCTGGGACGAGAGGACTCTGCCCTGGCCCTGTGCAATGAGACCGGTGACAGGGCCGCCTGTTACCATCTGGCGCGGCAGTTGGAGTCCAAGCAGAACATTGACCACGCCATTCACCTCTTCACCAGAGCACGTGCCTACTCCAGCGCCGTGCGACTATGCAAGGTGACATTATTTTAGAAAACCGCAAACTATAATCGGCTAAGTTGTATTCACACTTGCTAAGCTAGCATATTTTGGCAGCGTCAGTCTGAAGTAAGACATTTTCAAGACGACTGGGAATGGGCGCGAGCGCAGCGACTGAAAAAGTTAAACGCTCCCGTCTACACGTTCCACACACACGACCCGGCCCCCACAGCACGCGCCAGACTATAATAAGGACGAATCGGGTCTCGTTATGACGGAGCCGTTGCGGCCTAATTCTCATTCCTGAGGCTGCATTAACCTGTCAGTTGGCAATCTTACAAGAGACGACTTTTAGAGTTTTCTGACTAATTTGGGCGGGTCACTAATACGTTATTAATTCGCCTTGATGAAATACTCCCCAGTATCGGCCTTACTTTCTTTCCCCTCCCATAAAGCAATTGACTGTCCAAGCCTGTCAAGTGGTTAACAATAAGAATAAATTGAGTGGCTAAGAAGGCTGAATTGTCCGTCTGCGTATGTCGCAAACGACCCGATTCGCAATTCATGAACCAGGCTATACCGAATGACATGCTTCCCGCGTACGTTGGATTTTCATGTTCTTACATGCGGCATTTCGTCCACCGCGCCGCCATGGTGGATTTCACAGTACTTACGTTCAGGCAGATCTTTTTCGAGTTTCCAAATGAGATCTCGCAATGAGTTTTCGGTACTCCCGGTAATCTGGACTTAGTCTTAGTGATGTGTCAACATGTTATCAAGTTTTGATGCCACACACGATACGGATCAGCCGCTGGTCTAAGAATTTTCACCTCCACCAGTCTAATGCCACAGAATCTAAGCCTACGGACTGGTGCCAAGGCTGCAAAGCCTCTGCTGTTTATTTGTAGGCGCTTCCATCACCTCACCGAACAAACTCCTTGGATTCCGTACATTATCTTTTGTGGCCACGCCTCGAACACTGCTCACTGACATGGTCTCCAAACCTCGTGCCTGGCATTGGGGATTCTGGAGAAGGTTCAGAGCCGGGCAGACAAACCTGTTCGATGTGTGGGTAATCCGAGACCAGAGGAAGGCGGAATTTATGCAACCTGCCCCGGACACCCCGCAGGTCGCAACGCGTAGACCTTTCATGCTCAGGAGATTGCATATAAGCTAGTCAGTTGGAGCACCGTTTTCTTGGTCGTCGTGGGAGCAATTTCCAGATAGATCGCAAAAGGATGCGCAGTCGTCGTGTTCAACAGTCGGTTTACTCGCAGCATGTTCTGAACCCTGGGGTGCGACATTTAGTGAAGTCGTCCTGGCTACTGCATTCAAAGTGTTTGAGAAAAGTAATGGTTCCTTGTTCCTAGTCCACGATGCTGTAGGATAACATGGAGCTAGGTATCGTTCAGCATACAAGTGTGGTTTCAAAATCCTCCCGCCTTCACGCACGCAATTTCTTACCTTTTTAACAAAATACAACATGCGAGATCAGTCTGTAGACTCCGTTTTGCTTGCTTAATTGACTGTAGTTCAGCAAGTTTCTCTACAAATATGGATGTAGGACGTTTAAATTTAAATTTCACATAAGCAGGCGAAACGAATATTAGACGTTAAGGGGAAAACGTTTAAATCGCAAACAAGTTTGTAATTAATGAGAATCGCTTAGTGGCTATCCTTAATAAAAGGTACCTGAAACGAAATTTCACGTTTGCAGGCGGAGGTGAGGGCAGGACCACACTTCTTCTTGGTGCAAACGGATTAACAGTACACAATATATGATTTTATCAGCAAAATGTAAATGAAACATGCAGGAAGTAATAACAAAGCAAGGTAGCTGCTACCGAAAACAGCTCCCCCTGCAGGCCATTAGGTGCTTTGTACGACCGACATATCACTCTCATACGTCCAGTACCTTTTTCTGTCTCTGCAACTTCAATTTTCCACCAAAAATAAGAAATCCATGTCTCTTATCTATATCAGACCTCATCGCATACATCGGAATTATTGTGCCCGTGCAACCCACTGGCCATGCCAGGCAAAGTAACCTCTCCACTCAGCATTCTGCACTTCAGACAAGCAGAACCAAACTATGGTTGCATATCAAAACTTAAAATGACCTCCTGGACCAGACCTATGATGGATATTTAACTGGTTGGGTAAATTTGATGTCAGCAGGGCAGAATATGACAATGCCCATAGGTTCCACTCAACCGATGGACCAAAGAACTTCGAGAAAGGGAAGAGAGATCAGTTACAGGCATTTTCGACAACTGGAGATCAAAAAGCAACAATTGGGTAGGAAACTGCGAGGCAAGAAACCGATAAACCTAAGACAGGCTTCTATTTTCCAATCAGACGTACGTGTGTCGCTAATTCGTCTTTTCTACCGTTTCCTTCTATAGACTCTCCTAATGCTCTCTCTTAACCCTTTTACCTTCGTAATACCACGGACTATGCGACAGCTTGCGTCAGAAGGCTTCGTAGTCGACACTTCCGGTGACTCTGCCGTGAATACCTGTGAAATGTGTATGCACTCCGTTCGAGTCTTGGTGCTGTTACAACACAAACTTGAGTGTTCGTGTATTTGTATCTTAATAAAACAAAGGGGCTACGTGGTAAATGCGCTTGGCCAACACGGATGCCATATGGGATCTTGGCAGGCGTTATCGGATTGCACACCACAACAAATGTCAACATTTCGGGGTGCGGTGGCAGGCCCGGTTGCCGGAAGACGTCGCACAGACTGAGACCCCTGTCGCCCCCCATTGTTATTGTTGGTCAAAATCCTGGTCATTTGCTGTGTGGACCAGGGAGTGTGCAGTGGAGCACCTGAGCCCTCTCCCGCCTCCGGTCTTCTTGACTCTGTCTTGAAACCGGGTCCAGATGGGGGAGGGGGAGAGAGGGAGGCAGATACTTTGAAAGTCTGCATTCACTATAAACTAAACCACGCACAAGCCACCGTCCCTGTTTCACCTTGTTGTGGCGCATGGGACATCGTTTGCAACGACGATCGAACTATTACAACAACTTAACTTGCTTACTGATTTAAATTAAATAGCGAGATAATTCTCGTGTGTGTTTCATCCCCGTTAGTTAAGCAGGGCTTGATTAATTTTAGGAGCACAATAGGAACGAGCATCTGTTCAGTCTGGCGCAATTAGGCACACCAGAGGACATGTTAGAGGCCGCACGTCATTTGGAGAAGTTGCCGGGATACGAAGAGAAGACAATAATTCTTTACCAGAGAGCAGGCCAACTGAACACGGCAATTGAACTTGCCTTTAAGACACGACAGTACGCAGCCCTCTCACAAATAACCTGCGGTGTTGATCGTGCCATCGATCCTTCTCTTCTTTCCAAGTGTGCAAACTTCTTCATGCAGAACAGTCAGTTTGAGAAGGCAGTTGAACTGCTGGCGTCTGGTAAACAGGTAATTTGTAAGCTTTTTCTCTACGCACATTCTCTCGTACTATTTCTTGATTTACTGCTTGTTATTTGCCTCATCTGTTTAATTTGGCGTTTAAATGTGAACCGTCAGATGTTCATCTTTCTGCATCCTCTTTCATGTAGTCACTCCACTAAGCCGTTATCAGGTTTGGTTGTTCAGTTGATAAGGTTTCTCTGATTATTTTCAGTATCAAACCATCTTCATTTACATCCGATAAGACAGGAAAAGTGCGAACGGTTAATCTCTCTCCCAAGAAGGGTACGATACCTGGGACGCCTTTTTGGCACTTTTTATGGTTCTTCCTATCAAACATGCCGTTGTTGCTTGCCTTTAGTTTATAATACCTATGATAACTGTAACAATCAGTAGTGTTACTTACTATGTAGAGTGACGTTCACCGATCGGGCTAAGGGTCACGCTGGTCCCGTTGTGTCTTAGGGCTCAATTTGGAGTTCTCGCAGGCAGTCGCATGGTGCCGATAACGGAATGCTGACAGAGGTTGGGTGTGACTGGCCGATGACGACTGACATGACAGAAATGGCCATCCCGGCCTCCCCAGTGTTTGTCGGCATTCCGCTATCAGTCCTGTTACCTGCAACTGTTTTTTTAGAGTCTTATCACACGATACCTTAACACTTAGGTGTTCGTATCGATCTGATCGATATCACGGAGCAAGCTAATTTCGCTTGCTCTTGGTTTTCAATAGTAAACAGGCGGTCACCTATCATTTCGCAAAAAGACAAAATAAACGATATCGTGAGTGGAGCTAAAAGGGCAGCGACTATTTTGCACCTCGTCAGTAGGCAAGGATCATGACAAAAACCCGCAATTGACCAAAAGCTGATGAAAAGTCAACTGGCAAACATATGTTTTTGTAATTCATAATCAGGCCACTACAACTACATTGAAAATGAACTTTTGAGTTATGGACAGGCTTTATGTATCTCGGGGTAATGGTTAATCAAATTCGTCGTTCTCACAACTAACCATCAGTCCCGAAACACAAACCCTGGCCGTAGCTCATAATTTCATTCGCCGTGTAACTTTAGTGTCCTGATGATGAATGATCGAAGACGTATGTTTGCCAACTGACTTTTCAGTCGTAACATAGAAATTTCCGCAGAGCTTAAAAACTGGTGAGTACGCATATACAGCACACACACCGTCACGGGGGATCTCAAATCAATCGGCTCACAGAAACGAAAGGCCGAGGCTAGATCAGCGTCGAACCTGATCGACTATTTATTTGCCCTAGCTCTGCTAATCCCTTTGCGCGATCCCATTTGGAAATGATCGGCTGAAAATGGCATGATAAAAGTGAAACAGTAGCTGCTTCGTCACCTCCCTTGCCCTTCCGTCGGCCGTATAGTAACTTGGACCACCGAAGACTCGTCCATTGTTTAACATGAAAACGGCGAACACTTTCGAAAAGCTTTGTTCCAATTGCCAGCTAATTTAGGGAAGATTTCATTGACTTTTGTGAGATAGTAGAGCCATATGACAGCTCCACTAATTTCACTTAACAGTCAATAAAAGCACTCTTTATACATGGGCCCAATATTACATATATTTCTTTCTTCTCGCCGATCTGCCACCTCGAAAAGCGCATCGTGCGCATGCTTCGTATGTACTGGAAGATGGGTATCCCAAGAAGCATAATTCTAAAAAGAATGAGTCCTTTGGGAAATTTAACAAACTTTATTTCGTAAATTTTCGAGTCTGGTTCTCCAGCTCGTCGTCAGACGCGTAGTAAGTGTGAAGAAACAGTCAAAATTTAAACATGCCCAAAAAATCGACATTGCTTTGTCATGGCTGAGGATGGGTCAATGCCGTGGGCTGAGGTCACGTCTTGATTGGCTATTACCTTTTCCATTTTTCCTTGAGATTTTTGTACATGGCGTCAGGATCGATGTGTCGATTGATGCATGAATCATCGGCCTTTCTTATGTGGGCAGGAACGGACAATGCGTGTTTTACCCCAAGCGAATGTGTGCCCAGTTTCAAGAGTATGCATGGCGACTTGGAATAAGTGGTCCTGTCTCTTCATTCGTTCAAATTCTGCTTAACCCAATTTTAACTTCCCTCCCAAGTTCAACGGTGTGCCAATGGATTTTCTCATCCCTTACAGTACCTAGAAGCAATCAAGCTGTGCGGCGATTACGGTGTTAACCTAACCGAGGAGCTTGTCGAGAAGTTGACCCCGCCATCCGACCTGCCCTCAGAGGAGCGTGTGGAAATCCTGACCCAACTTGGCTACCAGTGCGTCACTCAGAATCAGTATCATCTGGCATGTAAGAAGTTCACGCAAGCTGGCGATCATGTGGCGGGCATGAAGGCACTACTGCGCTCTGGTGATACGGAAAAGATCATATTTTTCGCGAATGTCAGTAAAAAACGGGACATCTATCTGATGGCTGCCAACTACCTACAGACCTTGGATGTTTGGCGTACTGACACGGAGATTGTCCGCACTATCGTGCTCTTCTACACACGAGCGAAGGCCCTGGAGTCTTTGGCCTCCTTCTACGAAGCTTGCGCTCAGGTGAGCATATTAGTTCTCCCACCGCAAGTGTTTTAACTCCTGTGTTGGATATGTTTCAAAGGCCTTTGGAAAGCTTGTAAGCACTAAATTAAGACAGCAGAATTCCCGCTAGGTTCTAAAGTCCGGGGAGACGTCAATGATCATTTGAATCCAAACTTCAGGTGGACGCCAGAGAGTAGGACACGAATTTAAACTATCATCCAGGTTATAGCCTCACAGTTGATTCAGGGGCTCCTGTCACTTCCACATCCACCTTAAGTCCAGCCCTAATTCCCAAAACCAAGAATGCAATCTGAGGGAGACGGTCATTACCCATTACGACAGTTGAATTATAATTACCGTTCGGCAACATTCCGATCTTTAAAGGGAAGTAAGATATGTCTGAGCAGCGACCAGTTCAAAAAATGTCCAAAGTGATTTCAGACAGTAAAATTGGCAGGCCGAGTCCGGTAGACATTCATAGATCAATACAGTGGTTCCCGCCCGCGGAAGTGAACACCTACTTGTTAACTTTGACGGCATGACCTTTCGAAAGTAATCCAATTACAGTGCGTGACCGATCTCACGAAATGTTGGCCGAAATTCTAAAATGCGTTTTTAATCAGGAAGGATTACTTAGGTGGGGTTGTAATAATGATAAGTATGCAGCATAAACTTATAGCACTTCGGGCTCAACAGGATGTCGGCTTTTGGATGCACTTCTTTTTTAACCTCCTGCAGAAACCGCACTTTGTAAAAAATGAATACTTAAATAGCATGCATTTTTCCAATTGATTTTCGATGGTCTTGTAAATTCAAATATATTGCATAAAAACATGCACAGAAATATGCTTTCTTTTACTCTTTTGGTAGAAAATCACATTGTCTTGATGTTTTATGTCCGAAGAAATGGTATAATTAGGTTTCAAAAACGTTTTCCAATTCCCGATTAATTTTCAGCCTGACCTTCTATTGCATTAGCGTTTGACGATTTCAGTCTACAAGGTGCACGCTTTCCGCGTAAGGAAAATCATATATTCCTCTGTGCCTTTAAAAAGTTACCACATAGAGTTCCTAAAATTTCGCAATGGATCCGGGCTGTGTTGTGCATTTCATTAGGAGCATTGGTAAACGGACATGTGCAGTCCTGCATGTATGCACATCGCACGGTCTTGAAAATCTCATAATTAGAGACTTTTTAAAAACCCAAATGATAATCCTTTTGAAGCCCTTAGAATATTTGCTTGCAAAAGTTGAATGTGCGAAGCGACGCAAACGACTATAACGGAATCACGTGACAGCTCGGCCACTGCAAACGGCAATGTCCAACGTGTACTCCTGGCAGGGTGGACGAAGGGACAGTGACCTGGGCGTGAATCAGTTAATGATGATAGTAGACTTGCGTAGTACCCATCCTACCCTCTCCTCCCCCACCCACCTGAACTTGGTGTTACGAGAGAGAGAGTCAATAAGACCGGAGGCAAGGTAGGTAGCTGTGGCTAAACAGTTTGTTTGCGTGCGCCACGCACGACCTTATCCGCTCACACTTGACCAGGCTTTCACAGGATCAGGAAAAGGGACCGTTCGTATTTAACCTGAGTGGGAGTGCCATACAGGCCACATTAAGAGCAGGTCAGTGCAGCCTGAATCTCCGTCCTGCGAAGATCGAGTTGTCCTCTCAGGTGGCAGCCTTGAAAGCCACGGCCTTTATTACACGCTGATACTTCAGAAGCGCATCCACTTGTTTTATCTGAGGGATAAGCAAAAAGTGACATGGGGACGGAGTGTCCTGAGTCGACCTCAATCTCCATTCCCTCTCCCGGGCAGTAGTCCACCGTCTGAGCGATCTGGTGCTGGGATTGGGCACAGAAACATGTACCAAACTGTGCACGCGCACAGCCAGCGACGATAATCGAAAAGGTATTAACGGCCCCTTGCGTCTTCGCATAGTTGAAAATTTACGTCTTTTTCTACTCCAGTGCTGATACTGCGTTTTGTAACCATACCCTTTAGGTCGTGGTGTCATGTCGTCAGGTGAAAGAAGCAGAATATTCATCAAGCATTAATATGGTAGGGGGCGCTCACCGATCGTTCTTACGGAACTCAATCGTTCGGTTGTGCCTTATGGACTCTCTCTTGAGCCCAACCAGCAGCCGCACAGCGGCGCATGATATAGGCAGAATGACATTACCGACAAAGACAAGAGAGACTGGAATGGCCATTTCTGTTATTTGTTATTTGAGAAAAAAGTAGCGCTTTGTGGGCCTACGGAGAGGGCCAACTTCACCCAATAGCTAGCCTCTCGGGCACATGAATTCATGTCAATTTTTTTGTCACGCCAGGTGGAAATTGAAGACTGTCAGAATTACGAAAAAGCTATGGGCGCTTTGACGGAAGCCTACAAGGCGCTTTCCAAGGCTGCAGCAATGTCGGCTGACACTGTGAACATGAACATCGACAGTCGTTTACAGCAGCGGCTTCTCAACGTGAAAATGAAGATTATGCTTTGCAAACAATTTGTAGAGACTCAAATGTAAGTACGCCTTTCGTTCTCATTTCGTTTTTTCGTTCGCTCAACAAACTGTCAGACGTAGACTGGTTCACACTCTGACGCATCTATCGCCATGTATGTCCCATTTGTAAAACACCAAAATTTCCATGTAAGACAAAGTTCCTCTTTGCCAAATCTAGCCTCCGTCGTCATAATTCCTTAAGACTTTAACCTGCAGGCGTGTCATCCTAATGCTTGTACGGCGATTGCTATAACTCGTTGAGAGCTTTACCCACACATAATACCCTACTCAAATGTATTAAGTAGTTGGTATATATTCCAATTTAATCGTTTCCCACGAAAAGACTGAAAAAGCCCAGAAGAATCGGTGACAATCGGCGTCCGCACATTATGCAAATAATGATTTTGATGGACAAAAGGAATTTTTACTAAAAATGTCTTGTACCATGCCTTGAGTCATTGGTTTGATGAGAAGTTTTTTCACTTCAACTAAGCGCCGTGTCATAATTTACTCAGCAAACGTATATTTCACCTAAAGAAACCACTGTGGTCCGATTTCACCAGAAAACTACCAAATTTTCTGAACTTGTGAGTGGATATGCAGGTGCAGGTCTGCCGCCTCCGTTTAGCCGACATAAATCCAGAAATGCTAATGACAACTTCGTTCTTTCTATAAAAATGCAGGATGTTTGAAGATGATCCGGTGGAGGCGTTGAGCCGGTGTCAAGCCCTTCTGGAAGAGCCGGATACAGCAAAAATAATACGGCCGGGCGATATATATGCAACCATGATACGCGAGCTCGTAGCCAAGGAGAAATTTCAAGCAGTAAGCCCCACCATATACTTCAGTCCTAACTTGTCTTTTGACTAAGCGCAGCGTCGATATCTTATGACCAAGGATCTGTCAACTGGGTATTGACACCCTCCAAGTCGATAGCCCACCATTTCCCCCCAGCCACTGCTCAGTCGTCCTTAAAAGGTTAATGAACAAACGTATTAAAGAACTTCGTTATAAAATCCAAGGTTTCTGATGGTCCGTATCGGTGATACTTCGAACACATTTTCACTGTCTCTGCGGGTCCACAGGTGACGTTTTTTGCCAGTTAAGAAAGGCTCAAATGGAAAGGCTATTTGTGTTAGCAAGTAAATATAAGGCCAGTAAAGGCAGACAACATGCCTACTTGTTCACAGAACTCGTGGCCGTGAACGTTAAAAAGCAAGGGGTTTAGACTGATGGAAATGTTAACTCAAATTATAAGACATGGTCTCGACTAGAAATGACTACTTAAGTAAGACTGTGGTATTTATTATCAAGCAACGTAGTCCCACGATATTTCAGCCACTTCAGGATGCTGGCCTTGGAACGATCTCCTTTTCGGCCGCCCGCAAAATGACTACTTAAGGGGTATGCATTTTTCTCACGGATTGTTGACGCCCTTATAAATCCCAAAATATTCTACGCAAAATATGCAGAAAATATTCTTTCCTGTATTCATTTGGTGGCAAGTTACATCTTCAAATTCTATAATTGAAGGAAGACCATACCCCGGTTTTAAAACTGCCTCAATTCTCCAGTAGGTTTGGACCAAATTTGCCGTTACACTTGCCTTCAGGGTTTCCAAACCGCATGTAGTATGCATTTCGTCAAGGAAAAATTAAACGTTTCTATATGCTATTAGGGAGACTCCACATAGGAGTCATAAACTTGTGCAGTGCATCTGAAGCAGATTATATGATTTATAAGCGACACTAAAAAACATGCTAATGCGATGCTGTACGCGTGGACATTTCACGATCTTAATGGAACCCATAATTACATATTCTTTTTAAAACCGAAAGATACTCTCATTTCAAGCATAAATTTGAGATAGAGTCAAGTTTCTACCAAATGAACACAAGAAAGAATGCTTCTGTTTGTTTTCTGTAGAATATAATTGAATTATAAGGACCTAAGCAAGCAGTGGGGGAAATTCACATTACTCTAGTCATTCTTACAGGGCGTATTTTCTGCAGACGGCCGAAAAGAAACTCATTCGGAGGCCGGCACCCTGATCTGTAACTAATATTACAACCCTACTTAAGTAGTCCTGCCGAGCCAAAAGCACATTTCAGAAGTTCGGTTAACATTTCGTGAGAGAGCACATCTGCCGGCCGGAAACCCCGAGTATTGACTAACAGAAAAGCCCGGTAGTGTTTGCGCAGCTCGAATTCTAATAGCCATCTTATAGTATGATATTTTCCAACTATTTGGACGGAGCCTTACCTAGAGTCCACAAATCACACAATAGAAAAAGTCTTGCATATCTTGTTGAAGCACCCGCGACTTACGAATGACTTTGAATATCCTCGGAGAAATAGTAACATTCCTCGCTGAGCACCCCTTCATAGCATATGGTACTCCTGTAAATTTGCAAAAAACGATACACGGTGGGTATGACAGGAGCTGGGGGATCGCTCATACAGGGCACGACCTAAGCGTGCCATTCACTGCCATATCCAGTTGAGATCAAGGACTCCACCCAACCCTGTTTGGCGGTGTATATAGCCTTTCTCGTATCGTTTGTTTTTATGGCAACTCGAGCCCTTTTAGTCGCAATTGGTTCGAGTATACGAGGCTCGTCGCGGATGCAGGCGTTACGCCTATGTGGGAGGCAGCCGACCTATGAAGACCATGCGGGTCCTACGAACGCACAGAGCACCGCTTGTAAAACGCACCTCAACCTTGCCAAAGCTCCGGTCATGACAACTACTGTGACCGTCTCTGTTAGCACGCAACCGCTCCTGCCCTGATGCGAAGGCCGGCCCGTCTACACTCACGAGCCCATCCTTAGCTATGAAAGCATCCAAGGCATTCATCAGCCCTTGAGCGTCTTAGAAATTCTGTCTAGGACCGACTGAATGCCTGTCTCACTACAGAGAGGACAGCGCTATTTGTGGTATTCACGTCAAGCAGTCCTTTTGTCCAGAAAGGATTATACCTGAGCCTGCTGAGAGCCGAGAGATTCTATGGGAGCTCGCATGGGACAAAAAAAACAAGTACAAAATGTCCTGCTCCCACACCGGCTTCTGTCATTCGTAATACTAACAGACACATCGCGGACTATCAGGAAGTCTGCGGAGTCGGAAACTTGGGGAAATGAATGGAAATGGTGGATGAACAGACGTGCCACATGCTGCTCTGACATCATGACTGATGGCGTCCCTAGCGACGTATTTTGACTCCCAGATTTCTCAGCAGTGAAGCCGAATTGAGTGAGATGTGACATTTAGTCCATTCTAATCACGACTGTCCTGCCAACCGGATTCCCCCTGGGGAAAATAGATTGAATAAGTGTGCTGAGGCCAACGCGTGTGCACCGACCGCAGGACCTCTCGGCGAATTAGCAAGTTTGTCAGCATTTGTCAGGATAGCTTAATTGTCCTTACGCTCACTTTAAAACCAAACAAGGAGAAAACTAGTTAAGTACGGCATTTGCATCGCCTTAAAAAAAGTCACAGAATATCTCCAACAGAGCTCTTCGAACGGCTTAGTATAACAGCCAGATAAAGACAAAATCCGACTTCGATACGACGCATGTGTGCGAAAGTCCCTTACTTCCTCACGTTTTTTCCTCTAAACAGGCATACGCCTGCATGCAAGACATGAAAGAACGACTCAGAGGAAAAGCAGATTTGACAATGTACCTGGACAGAGCAACACAATTGAGCATCCTCAGAGCCCTGGATATGCCCATAACCAGTCATGAAGTGAACAAACCGACAAGTCAAGAGGGAACCACATCTGACGCCGATTCCGTAGAGGAGAATGTGGTCGATCTTGGTATTACAGGAAGCGATGAGGACTGAAAAAAACGCCGTGTACTATTGGAAACTAAAGGACTTTAGACTTTTTCTACCCCAAACCATTTTACAGAACACAGCCCCCAAAGTCCCATGTCGGCAAAACAGTTGTTTTATTGTTCGTTAGATACATGTATGTATATGCATGTGCAAAATTGTCAAAAGAAATTAATAAGATCCACCAGCCGCTTCTTTCTTCTGTTTCTTCTTCTCTGCCTCTTCTTCGCGTTCCTTTTCAATGGCTTGGACGTACTTATCAATCTCTTCATAATTGAGCATCTAGAAGAGGGTCGGGTGAGAAACGATTTTACGAAAGCACCTGAACAAATATGCCCGACAGGGCAAGGAATGTAAGTTTTTTGAGAACCAAATGTATAATAGAACCTGGTACTCAATAAATGACAAATAACAGTCAGATATTCGAAACCTGGCTCGGTGGGAGAGCTCCACATTATAAGTTACGAGTAAAGAAAATGTGATGGCGAGGTTTTACAGACCTTCAACTGTAACCAACACGCTGATATGAAGTAAATTTGTAAAACAAGAGAGGTGGACACTGTTACTGGGGAGAAAATAGCTGTCCCGAAAAATATAATGGACAAGAACGTAGTTGCCTGTGTTAGCCCCTCAGACGTTCGAGTCAGCCACTAGGCGCACTTTACTAGTTAAGCACCGGAGTTGGTCAAAAAGTTACTCGCAGTTCTATGTCAAGGCTATAGCGTGATATCTCGTGATAGCTGGTCGCGCCGCAACAACAGGTGGATGTCTGAAACTTGAAATTGAGTCCGTTGGCTATCAAACCTTTGAGTCAAAAGTTCTAGCACTAGAACTACGCATGCACGTCCTGTCGATTGTTGTCAACAAGATCCAAATTCAATTAGTTATGGCTCCAAGTGACTGCAAGGAATTCTGAGAAGGTCACAAAGCAACGAAAGTGGAGATTTGTTTCTGACAAAAGAATGCTCGGAGGGGCCGTTTCCGGCTCTTTTGCCGACACCTAAGATTTGTACCCCAGTTGGTTAGTCATCGGGCGTCTGTAAATTAAATGCCCTACCACTTGAAATGTATACAAACTTACTGGTGAGAATGGTCGAGATTATTAAAATCATCTAAGTACGGCGCTTACTGGCCTACTCTTGTTATAAGACGAAACAGGGATGATATATTTTCACCGAAAAAATGCTAAGGCGAATTACCGATGTCTACTGTATACAAAAACCGATAGTAGAGTCATTTCCATTCAAGTCTGGCTCATTTCTGTGAAAAAAAAAACAGACGCACGTTCCCCTATGTTGATTACGATAGGTCAAATTATTGAGACTAACTGCTTTTCTGAGCTGGGGTGTTCTAATTCTTACAAGTCAAACGCGCAATCGAACGCGACTCATTGTGAGCCTTTTTCGAATTATCAACGGTGAAGAAAAAGCATGTTATTGTTGAAGACTGCAACGGGACCGCGATGAATTCAAAGGCAAAATTCTGCAAAAATTTCTAGCAGCCAAGCGGTGAAATATCTGTCAGTGACTTGCAACCACTGACGGATGTTTCGTCCTGGAACTCGATACTAGATGTCTAGACTGCCAAACGTTTAAATACTCTCATCACCCCTGGATGTTCTTAACCATGCGCCGTCCCCACATGTCGCGTATTATGGCACAGGCATGAGTATGAATAAATGAAAACGTGCGCTTACCAACGTCAATTTCTTCAGTGGTTGCGTAAATATCAGGACGCAAGCAGGCTCTACTGGCCCTTCGTGCTGCAGATGTATGCGACTTCAACAGCGTTACGCAGGATGTTTCGAACGTTTCGACTAAAACAGGGTTCTTTGTCATTCCTCGCCTTACACGCAACCACCAATTCACTGGATTGTACATGCAACGCATTTTCTCAACAAATACCAGTGTCCAACACTCGTGCTCCCAGGACTACCAAACGATTGGTTGGAGAATGCTAAAAATATGTCTTCTGTGAACATCCAGGGACCTGAATAATCAGCGTAGTTCTTGGTTGTGTCTACGACCAATTACAGATTGACACTGGGAATTGGCCATCCCCAGAAAATTAAACCTGCAGAAATTCCAAAATATCCGTCGAGCGGCTCATGAAGTTTGCTGCGCCTCGCACGTATACGGCTTCCGCCTCTGGCAGCCACGCCGGGCTAGGAAGCATGTCCTCACGGCTCCTGAGCGGTCGGAACGTGCGCATATGCAGCCTCTGGGACAGCCACTCACAGACGCCCAAAAAATCGGCTACTACCCAATCAAATAAGCTGATACTGACTCTCAGGTAATGCTTATACATTCACGCTTACGTGACTCAAGAAGACGAAACGCACGCGCGGATCCCGAGCCGGCTGCGCGTCAGCGGCTCTGAGAATCACCGAGCCCGTACAAAATACACCTCTACTGGTGTATTGCCCTTACTCCTAAACGGAATCCGGTGGTGATTATTGTGGTTCCTTGAATATACTCACAACTTAAGAGACAAACTTAACGATCGGTCGGCCGAGCAGTTAACACTGTTGGTCAAGATAATGTGCATCTGAAATACCATAAACAGAACCGAGTTTTACAAGTGAAAGAAAGTCGTCAGTAGGAGGGGTGCGTTCGGTGCACAACCATCGGGTTTATTCAAGGGGCAGAATGCTGTCATTTAGCGTGCGTAACGGAGCTAATGAAATGTTACCATGCCACCCTCACTGAAAAACATAGTGACTGGTGTTTAGATATATTTGACTGGCTGGGTGCAGGTTTAAAGCTACCGCACAGTCTGACCGAAATTTCTTGTCGTCAGAGTTAACAGATCAGGTGAAAGCTACTTTTGTCCGCGTAAAAAGCATGATTTAGGGCTAGTGGCTTTGGTTACGCGTTTAAATAAACTTTTACCATCTACTCAAAGATTACAAGGACCCAATAAGGTGAAGGCAAGAACGCCCGGTTGGTGTTGGGTATCGGACAAAACTAGTCGACGTAGACTGGTCCATCCTGTCCGCTTTGCTGGATTTGCAGTATTACTGTGTTTGAAAGGTCGGACTGAGCAATTTGGCAGCTTTAAACGAGTTCATTCGGAGACTGCAATGGAATCCAGTAACAGTTTTATAAACCGAGATTTCACCCTTACGAACGGTTTAAAGGCTCGCAAGCATTCAGATACTGAATACAAGTAAAAAAATACTCCACAATGGGATTTTGGTTATTAACTCGACACAAATCTCGATTGGACAAAGTTCACTCGTCCCTGTACACTGAGTGGAATAAAAGGCTGACATCAGAATAAGTCTAACACTGGTGCCCTAAATAACTGTAAACTGTAGATGTAGATATTGGTCATTAAGTTTCGATGTACTAGAAAATGTTCAAGCGAGGCCGTGCAAAAAAGTTTCACATTGCAAATGCTACTTCCGAACTAGTAATATTATTAAAAAGGACATCTATTTTGCCGTACCAGAGTTTGAAACCTGCATGACGCGCTAACAGTGATGGGACCAAAACTATGAACATTAAAAGGCTTTGGAATGAAGTGGTTCCGAAACATACCTTCCATTCTACAAACGAATCACCGGGCTTTGTAGGTTTTTTGGCGCGCATAACCGCTAATTCCATGTGCTTTGCGCCAGTCTGGACAACCTCGACGAGGGCCTTGACAGCCATTTTTATGGTGTCTTCTTCCGTCGCAACCGCGCCCGCGGAGTAGTTTTTCTCGAGGAACTCGCGTGCTGCCTTAGAATTCTTCCCAATCGCGTTCGCCTGATTTTTGGATGATTATAAAGGTTTATCGACGTTACCAGCCACTCGAAGTGTGTCCCAGATGGATCCGTCTGGTATAAGTGAGGAGTCCCGTCTTGGTTTATTCCAACGATAAGCGTAGAGACGCCGAAAGGTCTGCGACCGTTACTCTGGGTGTATTTCTGTTTGATCTGTGCCATGTAACGAGCTACATATTCGACCGACACCGGATCTTCCACCGTTAGTTTGTAGCTTTTGCACTCAATACGGATCCTATCGATAAGAACACGTGCGTCGGCAGTAAGACCTACACAGTAAACAGACAAACACCTAACCTGCAAATGCTACGGCTATATGGTCATCAAGCAGTGAAATCTTTCTGATGGTTCGGTCATTTTGCAGCTTCGTTGTAGCCTTCTTTTCAACGCATAAAACTACGCAGTCCGCCCCTTTAACACCAATCTATCGCATTATTATGATAATTTGTTTACCGCAGTAGATCCTTTTTTTACAGCCTCCTGTGCATACTCTACTTGGAAGAGGTGTCCATCAGGAGAAAAAACAGTTATGGCCCTATCGTACTTCGCGGTCATGATTAATGTGCAGACGGCTTGAGTTCAGCGGTTCATCCTCAGGTGTTTTAAACAGCTGTAATCAAAATAGCGTTTTACGATATTTAATCGACCGGCAAAACAGACATGTGCGGGATTTCTCTGGTGGTCAAACATTCCTGAGTAAGTAGATTCTTCCTGCCTAAAGCTCTATGGTCCGAAATCCAAACTAAACGCCGGAGTTCTCCGTAGAAAGGCGGTAAACCGCTGCTAGGGTCAGGATAGCTATTATACGAGCAACTCACGGCAGTCAAAAACAGCACTACGTTAACGTTGAATGCTAACCTGCAAAAAAAGTGGAAAACAGAAAAGACGAACAAAACAGGAGTATTTAGTGCAGGCAGTGACCGGAAGTTGCTATTGTAATCATGCAGTGCTCACGGCAAATTAACAAAAGGATTCAGCCTTTCTACATTACTTTAAGAGTACCTATGAAACACTGATTTACATTATGCAAGCAGTTTCTAGGCGACATCTGTATGGTGGCGGACGGCTCAGACTTCAATTATGCACGATGAGTTTTTCCCAACTCTATGCTGATCCGTACTTCCCTGGACCGTCCAGATTAACACCTGGCGTAATGCTGACAGAGAAGTCTTTTTAAAAAATGTTTGTAAAGCTTGGCAACACGCCGTAAAAAGTGAGTTACCTCTCTCATATGCCTATTCGAGTTTGAAAGAGAATTTCGGTGTAAATCATGCGAGTTATTATCTTGGGAATATAAATAATCCTCCGTACTGTCTCTTTTAATTCGGTTCAGTTCAGTTTATTGAGAGAAATAGGCGTGAGGCATTGAGTACACTATTTACGACGTAACATTTAGTGCGATATACGCAAGAATCATCTGGGCTGAGATAATTCAGACGAGTCCATAATGGTATGCCAAAATTGGAGCGTCTCAGGTGACGCGCTCGAAATCTCATCGGTCAAGTAGGAACATAAATATGTCAAGGTACCTTTTAAAGCTTTGTACTGATGGTGACATTGCAACACCTGCGTAGAGGGCATTCCATGTTTTGACCACTCGGACAGAGAAGAAGAACTCCCACACATCCAGCCTTGCCTGCTGAATGTGCAGTTTTAACGGTTGACCTCGGTGTTTGGTAGCGGTAACGAATTCAAAAAGTCCTCAAGCGCCAGGTTGCAGTTCAGCCCTTTGACTATGCAGAATGCTTTTCAGTTCAGTTCAGTTTTATTACGGGGAAGGTTCGGCCAAATTGCCTATAACTCAAGCGGAATAGGTCCAGATCAATTAGCCGTGTAACTTAAGGGAAAGGGCTTTGAATCTTAACCATTTGTATGGCTCTCCTCTAGAGCCTTTCAAGAGAAGTTCGATCTTAAACCGCCCATGGTCTCCAGGCTTGTATGCCATATTCGAAGTGCGGCCGTAAGAATGTTCCGAAATCTTTGGGAGGAAGTTTTCGTCAGAATCCATAAATACATGCTGGATTGCGTGCAGTGCGGAAATTGCGACTTTGCTACTGTCGAACGATTAGCGGATGGTATAAGGGAGTTCGTCATCAGCACACCGAGGTTCTTGGTCGTGCATGCCATCGACATCGGGACCCGTTCAACAGCAAGGATGAAGATCGTGACAAGAAAAGTGGTCTACACAAAGCCTTTGTCAATCGGAAAACTGAAGAAAACAAAGAAACGTCCTTCTGATTTCCTCGTCTTGTGCAGCATCGTCTGCTGAAGGTGCAAAAACACATGGGTGGATCAAAAAACCGAGGAAATGCAAGAATAAACGGACAAAAATGACACGACGACGGTCTATCGTCCACCAAACTAAAGGAACCGCTTTGCCGCTCAGTGCCGACAGAATAACGATTCTTGAGGACAATTCGCAAATTATGATGCTCTGGACCGAGTACTTCAGAAGCGCACTCACTTAACTGCCAAAAGCTCCAAAGGTACCTTCAGCAGGTTCCCTAAAGTAGAGCCCAACAACAATGTTGAAAACTAGCCCTCGTTGTAAGAAACTGCCAGGGCCGTACATCAGATGTCCAGCAGCAAAACCCCATGCGTTGTCGAAATCTTAACTGAAATCCGCAAGTAGGATGACCCTCGACGAGTGGACAAATTGCCCTACATAATTTAGGAAATATGCGATAGAAGCAAGGTGCTCTTGATCTCAAAGACACAGAAATCATCTACCTATACAAATAAGAGCGTAACCGGGAGATTGGCGGTAATTACGGAAACATTTCCCCCTTTAGTTGGGCAGAGGAAATCCTCCCCTGAGTCTTTCTTTACTGCCCGAAAATTCATATGGAGTAATAACTCTTGCCTGAGAGTCAACGTGGATTCCGGGGACTCAGCCGAGACACGTTTTTCGTCGGTTAAAACTGCATAGAGAGCGAAAGAAACCTCGGACCAACCTTCGCACTACGTTTTTGACAAGGCCAAAGTCACCTGACACAACGACTTCCGACGTACTTTGAATTTTCATGCGAAAATTTGGATAGCCCAAACGACTATCTCAGATTTTATGCCAATTTCACGACGAACTAACGTCGTGCGTTACGGACAGTAGAATGTACTTGAAAGCCTTTGTGGGGACCCATGACGGACGTGCATCCATACGACTCTCTTAAAAAGATGTCGCTTTGCGTGCTCGCAGGCAAAAAGGACAAATGCAACGGCACACTAACCACACGGACTTTCCCACGGATCTACAAATCCCTCCAGAGACGTTGGAAGACCTCGCCAATGATCAGTTGGCTTAAATCTGGGAAATTAAGACTGAAGCAGCAATCTTCGAGGCACCCCCGATTTCTACAGCCAAAGTGGAAAGCTCGACTTACAAGTATCAAGCGCAGCAAACCAGCAATGCCAGCATCCAAACATTCTCCCGTCGTGCGCCCGTGTGGACGGGAGTTCCACGCCCCGATCGACTTTGCAACCAACCAAGTGCAACAACGGCACGACAGCATCTGGTGCTTCCGCAAACGCCTCTGTAGTCACTAACCCTCGGAATGCCAACGTAGATGACCACAGCCATCGGTTAACACACATTTGAAGCGGCTGTTGTCCACCGCTGCAACCTCCATCATCCCTGTAGCAATCTTCGCAACGACAGCAACATCGGTCGCCACGCCTTCCATTCCCACCACCAGTGAACACTCTCCCGACAGTCCGCCGGTTCCCACATTTTCCGCCAACAACAGCAGCCCTTACTCGGACCTAACTGTCCTCATTGCAATCAGACAACGACACCGTGCATCGGCTCAATCGTTTTCGGGGAATCCGTCGCACTGCAGCTGACGAACTAGTTCGAAGAGCCCCGACTCACGGCCACCACAAGTGCCCGCAATGCTCCCGCATATGCACTCGCCGAATGCCTTGCTCGGTCACATACACCCCCATGAAAAATAGCGACGAACCACAGCGGACGAGACGCAAAAATAAGACATTTTCCTGCCAGTCTTGACACCTCACACGAACCTGTCCTGCACCACCCACCGCGTACACGGAACAAATACCTTACACGCATCTTGGAAGCTTTTTTCATCCGCTCACTTCCCGTATGGCCTCTGGGGTACTTCCAAGCATGTTAAATCCTAGCAAGCTACCCACTTGTGCGAACTCGTGGCGTGTAGTGCTGAGGGACCGGTTCATGTGTGGCTAGCGTAGACCAACTATTTCAGATCTGCCAGCCAGTGTGCCCGATCCGAGAATTAACTTACTAACCGGTCCGGCCGCTCGACTGATGCGCGGGAGGGGAAGACGAGGAAGGTTGTACATGGAGACCCCATCCCCATGATACTTTGACACATTTGTATTATGCTAAGTTCGACGCGCTCGAATCTGACACGGAGCACAGAAAGTCGAAGCTTGATGCTTTACCAACTGACAGTACAAACCAGACATCATAATCCGCCATGTGTCTATCGTGGCCGACTGATGGACCGGGTGTCAGGCCACAATGGCACTTTTCTAATGTGGCCTTTATGGCACTCTCACATACGTGAGAACAGAGCAGACCACCCCTTTGTGGAAAAACCCGGTGTTTTATGCGAAGACGGGCCGTGTGCGGCGCGCGCAGACGGGTTGCGTAGTTCTTTCAGATGCTTTTTTAATCTCTGCATCAGATGGCTAACTGACCTGCACAGTAGGCCGGGGCCGTGGAGATGGGACTGAGAGCGATGTCGAATTTGGAGACTCCACCCCCATGACACTTAAAGCATATTTCTTACTATGAACAATTTATCGCGCTTGCTAACCATCCCTATGGGACTTGGAAGACTGCTGGCTGACGCGATAACTCGGTCCTCCTCTCAGGACTGTGAATCAGGCTGTAATAGCACTGTCGTAAAGCAGCCTCACTGCCACTCTCACTCGGAGGAAATCCGAATAGTCTTTCTATTTTCCTGAAGCCCTCGTCTATCGTGCCCGGACGAGCGCATATGTAACACATAGGCGGATTGTGCAGCTTTGTCAATCACTGCGCCTTATTTCCCCTTCGGTCTTTCTCTTTCTATTTTGCCACCGGATGATGAGGAAAGGGCGGTCGCGGCATATAATGCACAAATCTACTGCCACTACGAACCAAATCATAATCAACGTTCTGTCCTGTGCCAACCTAT